CAATCCCCAATTTTTATCCTTCAGGACTATACCAGTGAACTGACACTCACACTGGCTGAAGACTGAAAAATATTTTAAGATATATGCTTCTCAATATATTTTTGAACAAAGCAACTAATTACCTTGAAAATCAAGCGACAAATTCTTTCCAGAAGAGCCCTCAAACAATGATGAATTCTGAAGGTGAAGCATTAACAACTGGAAGAAATGGTGTTTTGATGCAGCAGAAGTATTTGTCTTCGATCTATTTTTGCAGTTTGAGAAACTTACTTCAATAGTGTTTGTGGGACTGAAGATGCGCTGTCTAAACCCTTTTAAAGCACTACTCCAAATATTTTCTGCATTGATGTTAAGTCTTGTTGGTTTTGTTTTAACTTGTACCTTTAACTCCTTCAGTATATTACAAACTTCCCTTCTTTGCTCTCCTAAACGCCTACAAGAAAATTGCATGTATTTTCAGATGAAAGCTATAATTCATAATTAGCAACAGTTACACAAAAAACATTTTAAGTCTGCCAAGAAGAACACTTCTTTAAAGACTGTGGCACGTTCAGGTATTGCCTGAATTATATCAGTAAAACATTTAGCCTAGATTTAAAAAATTTTAACACTGAAGTAGCAAGTTTTAAAATACCTCCAAGAACTGAAAAAAGGAGGTAGAAATAATTACCCAGGCATAAAACAGATTTTCTTAATTCAGTGACTCCAATACAGTGCCAAACAATTCTCACACAATGAGCTGACATTTAAACGAAGTGAAACAAGTGAGAAATTGAAAAGTTTATCATTTTACATTAAAGATGTTTTGCAACCAAATTAGAACAATCTTTGTCACTACAATAAAAAAACAGATTTGAGTAGGAAGAAAATTCTCATTTAAAAAAGCAAGATGTTTTCTTTGTTTTCTAGCTTCCAACCAAAATGATCTCAAATGCCATATCTACTAGAAATAACTCATTCCCTCATCAGAATTTTTAGCACATCAGGTAGAATCCATAAATTAACTACTCACAAGAGGATAATGAATTTTATGTTCTTAAAAACTGAATATTCTGTGTTAAAACGTGTTGTTTTAGCACTAACTTTAGTACAATCATGAACTATTCATATGGTACAGATATAAAAACATAAAAATTTAGGACACATCTAATTAGAAGAAAGCAATTAGGATTCTTTGTATTCCCTATTTTCTAAAGAATGTTTAGCCATGCATCAGTAAGGACAAATATGCATTTTTGGGTTTTGATCCCCTCACTACCTAACCTAAAAATTCTCAGTAGGTTTCACTCTTTTCTCCTCACATTCCTCTAGCATTTATTAATAGTGGAAGCCTTTCTCAAGCTTCAGTTTTTAAGTGTACACTCATGTTATTTTTGCAGTGACTATATACATATATACACACAAATATATATGCATATTGTATATAGTCATATAAATATATATGGATACTGGATATACACACAAATGCATATGGATACTGGATATACACACAAATGCATATGGATACTGTATATACACACACAGACACCTCCCCCACATGTTCTGTAGGAAATACAGTATAAAGCCATGTGCTAGATTACTCTTCAAAATCAGAAAAATAGAAGAAATACCTGTGCCTCAGGGACCAGTTCCTGTTTGACATCATTGGAGATAAGGACATTGTCACTCTGTCGGATGCTGGAAGTTCTCGGTGTGAGCACGGTGACAAGTTCTGGCACATTATCTTTGGTGATCTATACGCCAAAACAGTATTTCAAGAAGAGATACAACTATTTCAAGATACTTCCTATTTCAAAGGAGCACTATGGTTTCCCACTAAATCAGTACTGAATCTCATTTGTATCTCCATTTCCATGAAGCCCACCAGCTCCTGAACTACAATTTTTAAAATAATAGTTCAGCATTTTATTACATTATGGTCTTAGGATGTGTTTTTAGTTGCATCTTTTGCATCAGACAAAAGTCCTGACTGACACAGTAAGTAAAAACTAAAAATATTAGTTTCTACAAACTTGAAAAGTTTTTGTTAAAGCAGAGGAAAACATTATTATGAACATCCTTAAGTCAGACTTCTAGAACTCTATTAAAATGGAAAAAAATACCAATAAGCAAACTTAAAGCTTTGCTGTTTGTATACTTGTTACCACTAAATTGTTAAAAAGCAAGGATCTATCTTTACCAAACTAAAAAGTGGTTCACATGCCACCAAATCCAAATAACTATAGCAAATTTCCAGAGTTCATGGCTTACTCAGAAAACTTCAATCACTAAACTTTATTCCAATTTCATTTGATTTGCAAATCAATATAAATTTCTCCTACAGAATAAGCCATCATTTCCTCATGTTTAACTGTTATTTTACGCAATAATAAATTTCTGTGAGAAAACAGAAAATTACACACTGGAGCAGAAAATTGCGTGGAGATCCAGAAGACTGCCGAGGGAACTTTGGAGATGGCTCTTCCAGGATACAAGGTGTTCCATTTGTCTTTTCAGAGGTACCCAAAGAACGCTTTTTCTGTTTGCTATACTTCCCTGTATGATTACACGATATTAATTTAATGAATTTGCTATTTGTAAAGAAGTGTTCTTATATAACTTTAAAATTAACAGTTAAGAAATCACTGTCACACCCATAATTTTACCTGATTTTGCAAAGATACTTCTGCATTCCATGCACTCCCAGTTTTCTTCCCACGACCTCATAGATGAACAGGCCAAGTGAGTCCCACGAGAACCGCAGTACTGGCAACGCTTTATTTCCCATTTACTAAAATGAAAAACTTAGGTATTTAGAATTACATAGAAGAATGAGGCTAATTAAAACAAAGACTACTCAACAGTAAGTGCAATCCAGACACTAAACCAACAAAGCATAATTTTATCAGTCTGGTAGAACTGATTCTAATCAAGGAGACTTTCTTCATGCAAGATGTAGCCATAAGTGGCTGCAACAAGAAAAAAAAGCTACTCCAATGTTCCAGCATCTTGCATTGAATGAGACTGTAAGAACTCCTCTGTCCTGAAGTCAACAGATTGCAGGCACTATTTTCTCCTCATCCTGCTAGTCAGCAAAATCTTCTGCGTTTTATGAGTATCCACCACAGCCAGCTTTTCCAAAATGGTAAATCTTTTAAAGGAGAGCTCTTGAGGGAAACATTCAAACTGATCTGTCTTTACAATACTTTAACAATAACTTCTTGTAAAGACTAAGTATTTTAACACTTATTGAACTGCTGCATTAAAATCTGAATGATACATACACAACATTCATTTAGGCACATGCTACGTTGATGCACAAATTCTACTTCAGCCTGTAAAAAATGAGGACAAGGACAAGGTAAATGATAACCCCTTGAATTTGTTTTTCATGGCTTTTATAACCAGATCAAGTTAGAGAAATTTGTATTGAAATAGTATTGTATTGAGTTAAACACTACTTGGACAGTGTGTTGGCTTGACATTAAAACCTGATGCCAAAAAATATCAAAACATTTAAGTAAATAAAAATAATACTAATAAATAGCCACAGTGAAATATGTCAAAAACCTAATTCCATCCTAAGTTATACTTTCCTGCTAAAGTATCATACCTATCAGGTTCATTATAATCTCTTCCTTTCCTGCAGAGACATCTTTTAACATCACAGTGTTGATAACAATGCAGTAAGTCTTGATATGCATTTTCTTCAAGTTCCCAAGACGCATCCCTGTGAACAAGGCAGAAGACTGGATATCAGAACTCTATTGCTGACTGTTTCAATGGGTTACTCTGTATTTTGAAAAACACAATAAACATATGAATATATTTCAATCATGTCACGTTGTAGGTAACAGATAGGGGTTCTAGGTAACTGAGAGAGGGAAGAAAAGTCTAGTAACTAAAATAATACTATAAAACACACAGACAGACTTTTTCTTGATTTAAGTTACTTGGATTTCAAGTGTTTATTTTTCACATGACCTCAGTGCATGTTTGTCTCTGTTCTTTTTTTCTCTCACAGAAAACAAGAATATTTGTTTAGGCAGCTCATTCAAGTTACTGCTGAAACTGGTTTCATGAATGGTAACCTGGAACGTTCCAGGCCAGGACAGCAAAGTTCATAAATTTTGATTCTTCTTCCTCTCCAGAATCTAAAGCTTTTGTCTCAAGAGGGAATTAATGGTGCTCTCTAGAGAGACTAATAGTTACTAAGGGATAATAGTCTAACAAAGAAATATCATTCTGATCTCTTTCTGTCATATTTTGAGCCTTATCAGGTGATAGAAACAGGAAAAACAGCTCGGAATTTTGGAAGCAGTTATTGCACTAATGTAACCTTTGCAATCCCTTGGCAGAAGATTGAAGCTGTATGGCTGAGTAATCAGTCAGTTACAATTCTGTCTTGACAGAAATTCAGATAATTAAACTTGTGCACAGAAAATACACTTCTAATCAATCTCTGTTAAGGAAAAATTATTGTACTTAAGAAGTGCTTTTATCTTCTAATGTGGTTTAAAGTTCAATCATAGTATTAAAAATGATTTTTCAGAGCTTCCTGTTTCATGGTTGAGATAAATAATTTCACCTTTGCCAATTTTTATGCATATCTAAAAGGAAACAGGCTACTCCTTACCAAACTGAACAATGCTACAACTGAAGGTAGAACCAATGTTTCATATATTAATAGTTGAAGTTCTGTAGAATAAAGTAAGTGTTTAGAACAGTCTATGAAAGTTTTCATACAAGAATAATCATTAACAAAATTACTTACCTTTCTGGAATGTGTATGCCCATTCTCAACATTTCTTTTTGAAATTTGTCCTTGTTATTACATACTGTGCACCTAAAGAAAAATAGCCCAGCACTCAAAGCTTGATACTGTGCCAAGAAAAAAAAAAAAAAACACAACAAAGAAACCAGACCAATTATTGAATTACTACCATCCGTAAGATGCAATAAATTATGTCTTAATATTGAGACGCATTACATTCATGGATACTGTCTGACATGGGTGTTAAAGCTGCTATCAATCATGATGTGACTTGACATTAAAGCAAACAGCAAGGATTTTCTTTTCCTTTAGAGGAAAGTGCTTATATGCTAGAGTAAGGCTCATAAACAAAAGCGCCATCCTTTTCAGTCAACCTTTCCATATCCAGTGTAAGTTTACAAAAAGAATGTTGCAACTTTTTCTAGTCCTGGATTCAGCCAAACAGAACTGATGATGGATAAATTACATTTTTAGCACTCAGATTCTGCACATAATGACTTGCAGGAAAGCAACTGCATAGGTTGAACTTCAGTTCCTGAAAGTAGTAAAAGCATAAAGTATATACCATACATAGTGAGACATGGAGAGGCTACAGGGGGAGAAAAATTAATAGCATTAAAAGCTCAAAATCCTTTTGTGCCCATGACACAATTTTAGCACTGTTCTTCAAACCTAATATACTTCATATCTACTGTGTACACTTAAGAGTATGCAATTGTTCCATTATTTTTAAACAGAAATGTGATCTCCATGGTTGCAAAAAGCATGAAAGGGAAAACCTGTATTACCTGCAAGCATTCTCGATGAAACCAAGCGTTTTTACAGCAAGGACTTCTCAATACAGTGTACACTGGAAGATGTTCAACCAAATCCAGGCATATTGTGCACTGTGAAGCTCCTCTAAGTTCTTTATCCGTAAACTCTTGGACTGGTCTATGCTCCCAACAGTAAGATCTAAAAATAGTAATTCATGGTTCCCTTAACAAAATAACATTTTAAGAATCTTCTTCATAAAGTTTGAAGACAGTAAAATTAATTCATTAATCCATTTTTCATGAGTAAGTGCTATGCAACAAGCTAAAAATGCAGACATACTGGTTTTGGCTAGGCTAGAGTTAAATTTCCTACTTGTAGCTTGTATGGTGACATTTTGGATTTGTGAGGAAAACAAAACATTTTTTAGACATCTGATATTAAGCCGATTTCCCCTGCAGTCCATCTCTAATAAACTTAGAAACACAACAAAAGGGCAGACACTGTTTTGGCTGCTGAGATACACAGGTAGCCAAAGCTCTGCCACTTCAACAAAGGCACAGGAGACAGGTAAACAAAAAACCCAATTCGACCATTATGCAGTCTATTTCAGAGTTCAAAATTTACTGCTCCATTTTATAAACAGCTTAACTACTTGTATAAGGTCATGTATTTAAAAGTGTTGAGAATTGAGTTTATAAATATTAGGTATGCAATATAACTGTTTCACTTTCATGCCTTCCACAAATCGGGTATTTATTTCCTAGATAATATGTCATTTGCAACTATCAGCCTATCCAATAACAAGCCATGAAAGAAACCCAAGTCCTGTATAAATAAAATAAATTGAAAATGGAAAATCAACAAAGCCCCAAAACTCACCTGAAGTCTTCCATAAACTGGAAAATGCATTCCCTTTGTAACCCACAAGGAAAATGGTAACTTCGTTTGCATTTAGGAGCTACACATCCAATTGAAGCTCCCTTTTTCTTACAGATATTACATTTCTAGAAATAATTTGTTTTGGAAACAGAGGATTAACATTTCAAATACAAATAAAATTACAGGAATTAAACCAATAGAAACGTTACAAAAAGGGTAAGAAAGAATAGTAGCTAATAGATTAAAACTGTGACAAGACTAATGTTTTAGCTCTATTGCAATGAGTAAACACATGCCATTATTTCACACACTTTATGTACTGGCTTATATGCCTCGTGTCTTGTGACATGAAAGATAAAATGCAAGTTATTTTACCAGTACCTATATTTTATAGGGGTATAATAGGCATACACATATATACTTATATATAGGTATCTATAAATTATTTACTGTCAGCTTCAAGCTCAGCACAATGTCATGAGGTATTATGAAAGTTTAATTCACTCTTATATATCTGCAAGTCACCCAAGGAATAAAAATAGCTGCAAACTGTAGAGGCCCTGGGAAGCTGACTTCAGTTGTGGGATGGATTGTAATGGAACACCCAGGCCACACTGATCTCAGAGATGCTCACTAGGCTTCAGTCTGAACAAACTGCACTGGACTAAGCCTCTCTTGAGGCTCATCAGAAACAATGTCCGTTCCCAGAAACTAACAGGTATCTAATGACCTCCTGTTTTAAAACAAACAGCCTTAGAAACTTATTTTTCTGGCCTGAATAACAACCCAAGTGGAACAGTATTGTTACTGAAACTTCAGAGAAAGTTACAAACTCAAATTGCAGCCAGGATGGAAAATCACTGTAACTACAGCCCACTCTCTCTCTTGTGGCCCTATAAACAGTGGTCCAAAGTGAGACCCTTGGAGCTCTTGATTTCCAGAAGACAAGGGGCTAACGTGTATGTCTCAAACACTGATAACCACGTGGCTCTGGAGCCAACCAACGACTGCTGGTAGAAACACACAAGAACTGTTGGCAATAACCAAGGACTATTGGTACTAACACACCCTGAGAACAAGATTTGACTGGAGTGGAGGGCCCGGCAGAGATTCACTATAATGTGAGAAAGAACCACAACACAGCACAGTGCAAGCACAAGAACATGTGGCAGGAAGTCGGCATGGATTATAGGTCAGGATTTGGACTCCCAAAGCCCTCAAAACCCATTTCCAGAAAGGTGTGAAAGAACAGACTGCTCATGGTAACTAATTTACACAGAAAGAAAGAAATCTACCTTTGAGGTGGAGAAACCTATTCCCAAAAAGGTAGCACCCTCCCACAAAGCCCATGCCAGTTTCCATGCCAAGTGTTTAATCGACTAATAAAACTTTGTGATCTCTAGTGGAGTCTCTGACTTTTGCCACTCCTTTTGCCCAACTTATGAGCATTATGTATCTTTATGAGCCCATTACAAGCATTTACGAATCTTAGGTTCTTTCTTCCCTTTAACAGTGGATCATTACAATTTTGGCAGGGCTTTTTTTCCTTGCAGCTCCAACAGATCAAATATACTTGTTACCTAAACATAAAATTCAGGTGCCTGAATGGACTCAGCACACTGACCATTGGAGGAAGAAAACAAGACCTATGGGCTTGTACTAAGAGCACTTCAAAGTTACCTTTTTCCTCTTGTAAATACCAAAGACATAATTCTTACCAGTTTTGCAGCTCTCTTTACTTCTTTTCTAATATCCGTGATTAAAAATCCATCTACACCTTCATCTTCTTCACCTCTCTGCCAAATGCCACTTGACATCAACTACAAAAACAAATGAAGTATTTCAAAACATCCACGTAACCTAAAGATTTAAAATTACATACACTCTGCTTGTCAAATAAGAGAGAAACTTAGTCAAAAAAAAGCTCACATGGAAATGTTTTAAGGATAAAGAACCTGGCATAAAATACATTTTTGTTTGACATGACAATAACCAGTAAAATGAAAACAAATATTTCATAACATCAAAGTATTGTATAATACTGTAGGACCAGAGACAGTATATTTTACCTTCCTTTTTGAAGTATACAGACTATTCAGATAATTTTCAGACAATTACTTTCAGCATATAAATTTTCAGAGGAAGTAAAATTAAATTAGCTTAGTTAATATGAATGACAATTGTGCTGTGGAGATAATGAAGCACAGTAGGAAGTAACTGTACTGAAGTGTCACCTAAGAGGAAAAGTAATTCGTTTTAGAGGAGATTTAAATAAACACTGAATCAAGTAACTAGGCAAATCAGAAGAGCCTGATGATAATTTAAAGTTAGGCAGCTACATTACAATCTTCAAATAACTGAAGAGTTTCACAACTTGATGCCGTGTATATTTTTTACAATCTTGTTTTATAATTTCAGCACAGCACCATTTAAAGTAGTTTTATCAATATTTTACTCAAATAAATGTAAGATTATATACCCAAACCAATTAACTATATTTTTCCAACTGTGAGACATTTGGCAAAGAATAATTAAACTGTCACTAATGTGCCTCTTAGTAGAACTCTTCTCTTATATAACAAACTATATTTAAGTAAAATCACAGGGCTTTGCTCATTTTTAAAAGAAGCAGAGACAAAAAATGTAAAAGATGCTACGATGATCTTCCTGCAGTTAAAATACCTTATAGTCCTAATGCTTGGTATTGCATACATGCCTTTTCCTAGTTGTTCATCAGGGTAGGATTTTTTCTTATCATTTGATATGGCCTTATATATGAGACAAAATTACCACTAACATGGCATAATGGCCTCTATTTCCTTACAGCTGCTTAAAGTTTATTTAAAAACAATTACCTATATTTTCATGTAACTAGAAAACCTCCACTCTCCTTAGTTTTTAAAAGATTCAGTATCCAAACTATTAAACCATCTACAATCAACACTCTTTTAAAGAGCTTGTTGAGAAAACATACTCTCTATATTACCTCTGATGCTCAACACTCACTTTAGAATTGGGGAGAACAATTCAAATTATATTTATTAACAAACAAAATACTTTTTTCCGTAAAGTAGTAATATTATTCTAAAGACCTGCAAAAATTTAGAGTTTGACAGGAAGTTTAAGTATACCTTTAAGAATATGAATCTTGGAAAACTTCAAGGGTGCTAACCAAAGCTGCAGGTTATATTCACAGCTTTGTTTAAATTATAAACTTCTATTGATTAGTGAAGCTGTACTAATATGATCAACAAGGTACATATAACTTAACTGAGAATTAGGACTTAAGTGTTCCAATGTTCTATGTAATGTTGGAGAATAGCTCACAGCCAGTAAGAACTATTGAGAAGAAATGAGAAAAAAACCTTTTCTGTACTTTGCCCACATTGGGTAGAATTTTCACATTTCAAATTTTGAAACGACACTTTTCTTATAGGAGGGAATATGTAGGTGTCAACTTTGTCTTAACATGTACCTTCATTGCTATTTGCTAGGATAGGTTGGGAGAATTAATGAATTCCTTTGAATGGACCATGAATAGAATCTAGCTTTGAATAAAGGCTTGTTAGGATTTACGAATTTCATCTGCTGCACCTGACAAGTACAAGCCTTCAAGGCTATGAGTTAAAGCTCACATTTCAAGCTTTACAACAACAGAATTGTTACAACAACAAGACAGGTTATTAGTATTAAATACTTGTACCTTTTTTTTTTCTCCAAATAAAACAGGAAACTCCCAAGATCAATACCATACACTTACCAAACAGTAATAATGAACAGTGAGATCGTATTCCACATAGGTCCTTTTTTCTCCATACTTTTCAGTGCAGTCATCTGTCCGTCCACAGAGAACACAGACTAAAATATAGAATCATGTTTAGAACCACAGTGAGTGTACTGGAATTACTATGGATCAACTACAGAGCAGTAGCTTTCACCTCTTTTAATCACATGCATCTTCAAGTAGATTACTGCATAAAGGACAGTAGATATCCCTTACCTTAATGTTGAATTTTATAATAGATACAGAAGAATATACTATCTGCTCCTCCTCTAGTTACTAGAAAGAAAATACTTCACCAGTCTGCTGGATTCAGGAGTGGTCTATCAGCCAAGCTAAATTTACATGCAGACTGTGCTCTCAATTGAAATACTCTTCCCAAAACACTCAAAGAGAATTATCAAGCGGTCAGCAATTTCCAGGTGTATGTGAAATGTCATCTAGTTGTTTTTAGTACTATACATAACGTCATCCCCATATTAGAATCCATGAATCAATCATTTATTTGTCTACCTATGTACCTTGGTGATCAGCAAGTGAATGGTTCCAAGCCATTTGCTACTATAGCTTTTAAAAATATTTATCTATATGAGAGAACACCCAATTCAACTAAAACCTTGAGGATTTCCCACTTACTGGAGTTTCTAGTCGGCTATCATAGTTCCATGGACTTTTAACAGCTTCCCTTTAATTCCCAGTAGATGTACAAAATATATTTATAATATTCTAGATTAAGAACAGTCACCATAGTAATAAGAATAGGATTACTGCCTCAGCCTAAAAGTCCTGAATGGTACATCTCAAACACAGCTTTGTGTGATTTGGCTGCTAAATTCACAAAGTTACTTTCTTAAAACATCTGCAGAAAATACTACTTAAAATAGTCTAATTACAGCAAACAAACCAAAGGCAGTCTGTAAGTTATTTCTTTTCCATTTCCTGAGACAAGTGGTGGTTCCAACACAATTTCACAGAATGGTTAGGGTTGGAAGTAACCTCTGGAGATCATCTGGTCCAACCCCCTGTAAGGCAAGGCCACCCAGAGCAGGTAACAAAGGACCTTGTGCAGGTGGGTTTTGGGTGTCTCCAGAGAGGAAAAGTCCATGACCAGTCTGTTCCAGTGCTCTGCCACCTTCAATGTAAAGCAGCTCTTCCTAATGCTGAGGGGGAACTTCTTCTGTTTTAGTTCATGACCATTGCTCCTCATCCTGTCACTGGGCATCACTGAAGAGTCTGGCACCATCCTCTTGAGATGGCCCCTGCCTCTGAGATATTTATATGGGTTAATGAGATTCCCTCTCAATCTTTTCTTCTCCAGACTAAACAGGTCCAGCTCCCACAGTCTCCTCATGAGAGAGATGCTCCAAACCCCAAATCATCTCTGTGGCTTCTGCTGAACCCTCTCAGGAGCTCCCTGTCTTTCTTGTACTGAAGAGCCTCAAACTGAACACAGTAATTTGTTTACTGGAAACTCACCTGCTCTTTGAGCCCAAGTAAAGCAAGTTATAACTAGCATAATATATGCAGAATAAGTATTTCTGAAATTATTTGATAAAAAAACTTTACTCACATGTGCTTTGAGCATCAAAATTATTCGTTTTACTCATCTTGAGTTGTTCCAGCTGTCTGTAATGCAAAAGAAACAAGGTATTAAATACATCCAGTGAACATTATACACTCCTTTTCCGTTTTATTTAAAATTGCCAAAAAAGCACATAAACTCAATAAACTAAAAGCAGCATTATGAGAAAATAATATTATAATTCAACTGTTATTGTGAGAGATAGAGGTTGAGAAAGCAGGATGCAATTGTCCAGAAAAAAAAAATCTGTAGACCACTGAGAGATACAGAAACTTCTAGCTATTTCCTCAAACTAACAATATATTTTATTTTCAGAAGAGAAAGTAAATCCAATACAACAGCTAGTTATCTACAAACTTAATTGTACAGAAGAGTTCTTACTTATTTTAAGTAACAGAAATAATAGTCTACACAGGTAACATAGGAAACAGCTCTGACTTCTGCTCAAATAAAGACTGTACTAAGACAAAGAATTTGGAAACAAACAACCCACAACTGTGTAGTGATGTGACTATGAATATAACCTCCACTGTTTGGAGAAAATGCAGGAACCTGGCCTAATCGGAGAAATCCTGATCTACAAGAAAGTCAAAGGAAAAAAAAAAACCCAAAAGAACTAAAAAGGTGAGGAATCCAAAACTGGGACATGCATACAAGGGAATTTATACCATGTAGGATAATGTATTTACATTTTGAAGTGGAAAGTAATTTATTTAGAAACACTGATCTAACTTGCATTTCTTTGCATGTTCTTTCTAGGAACACATCTGTAGATCTTAGGCTTACCTTCCCTCAGGAAGCTGAAGAAAGCATTAGCTAAGTTCTGCAAGCCAGGAATCACAAGTGATGGCCTGTATCTCCAGGCTAGATCTCAGGTTGGCACAGACAATTCCCTCTCGAGGTGAAGAACAGGGAAGCAGCCAGTAACAAACCCAAGGTTCAAACCAGAAGCCTGACAGACTGCGAGCTATCTGTGGTCTGGTATTAATAGTTTGGGTGACTGCCAGGTATCAGCCTCAGGAACAAACTTTAGGCTAATTCAAACTATTGCAAATAAAGCACTGTAGCAATTTTACTGGAGATTTAGGGAAGGAGGCACATTAAGAAAGAAAAAGAAAGGGAGACAGAAGGCAAATGCCCTATGCCATTAAGAACAGGAGTAGGTGCACAAAGCAGCTTGGCCACGAAACGATATAAAAGGAAAACAAACCAAAAAGCACCACCACTAAATCAGATGAAAAGTTTCCTAAAGACACAACACACTGACAGCCAGATTAAATAAGTGACTCCATTTTCCCAGAAACACACTTCCCTTTTTCTAAATTAAAAAGGAATAACTATACTTAATCAGGTACAGAGGGAGCAAAAGAGAAGCACAGAGCTCACACACATTCCCTTTCTTCAGGATTTCCTCAGGATGGTCACTGCAAGTTTCACCATTCCCAAGCTCCTGCGGTAATACAACAAAGAAACTACCTACACATGGCCGCACAAGCCGAGACTGTTTTGGTAAAAAGCCCTACAGGTGGGCAAAGCACATATGTGGCTGGAAACAATAAAATCACCTCCCCACCTTTCCTCGGCTCCAGCAAAATTGAAAGAAAAAAGAAATCATTACACCACCCCCATCCTCAATTCCCTCTACTTTTCACAAATTCTTTCAGGTAAGTGAACCCAAATTTCGAATTTACAAGTTAAAAGATACGCGGATCACCATTGAGACCCTCTGCATAAGTCCTCTGGGGCTTTTCACAGGAACAAAGCAATTCCTCATCAAGTCTGTTTGCAAGACAGGAACGACCACATTATCGCCCAGTGTCTAGAAAACTGGTGTGAACAAAAGGTATCTACTTTGCCTAAACAGGCTAGAAAAGTCCTAAGAGTGAGCGTTTAGATTTTGCTAAATTCTGTAACTTTTTAACCACTCCATAACCTAAGGCGTTTCAAGAGTCTTTTAACTAGAGTTGAAAAAGAAAAAAACAAAGCCACCTCCAAGAGGCACGATATCAGGCACACATTTTCCCCAGCACAGGAACAAAGGAACTCTCCCCAAGCCATCCGTGCACCCTGTGTGTCCTGCATTTCCAGGCCGTGGGACCTCCAGGTCACCCTGCGGTCACTGCGGCTGCCGTGTCCCGAGAAAGACGCGTCTCTGGGCACGCAGCCCCGGGCGGCGCGGGAGCGCTCCGGGCACGGCCCGAGGAGCGGAGCACCGGGGTGCAGGCGGCCGCGCTCCCCCCGCCCGGCACAAGGGCCACAGCAGGTCCTGGGCGCGACCCCCGCCCGCTCCCCTTCCCACTCCGCGTCTCCCCGGCACGCCGCCCGTCTCCCGCTAGCGCGCAGCCAAGACGGAGCACGCTGAGTTAGTTACTCCCGGAGCTCCTGCCGCTCCGAGCGGCGGGAGCCAAGCAGCGGCGGCTCCCCAAAGCACGGGCTGGGAGGCTGCCGCACCTCGCTCCCCGCACGGCCAAAGAAGGGGCTCCCTCCTCCCTGCCCCGGCAGGTCACACAGCCCCTGGGGCGCCCCGCCTGGCCCCGGGCCGGGCGGCACTCGCCTCCCCCCGCCGCGGAGCCCCGAGGGCGGCACTCACCGCTCGCACCGGGCCGGGCCGCGCCAACCGACGGCCGATTCAAACCCCAACATCCGCCCCCTGCCGGAAGCGCGGCCCGCCCCGCCCAGCGCCCCCGCCACACCCGGGAGCCGCCCGCAAACCTCTTCTGGAGGATTTACCTAAGCTAACAAAAGGTCGCGGTTTTTGTAAAAAATCCTCTCCCCCTTTTAAAAAAATTTCAGGAGTTTGTTCTGAAGGGGCCTAAGACGCCACAGTGTAAGGCTGTGCTGACCCTTTTTTCCCCATAGCTGCAATGAAATGGAGTTTCTCAGTGGAGCACTGTATTTGATGTTTGTGCTGATGTTTTTCCATCGGAATGCCGCTGGCGGTGCGCTGTGAAAGGAGCTCGTTCCAGCGGCTTCGGGACTGCGGTCCCGGGGTCCATGCGGAGGGAACGCTGAGCGGCTGTCGGCTCAAACCCGCGCTCTGCGCGCCATCGAGAGCGGCTCTCCGCTCATGGCCGCCCTGCCCCGGCTGGCCTCTGCACTACCCGCTCCAGACCTCTATTCCGCCCTTAACTTGGCTGTTGAGGCCGGAGTCTCTGCAGATCCCAGATCACTTGCCCTGGCTGGAAGTGCTTTTGCGGCACACAGGGACAGAACAGAGAGTTTATCTGGCTCCTGGAGTTGGTTAGGCAGGTGTGGTGACCTGCAGCTTATTTTCACACAACTGGCCCTATTGTCCCACTCCCTCTCTATTTTCCTGTTCTTGTTCACTATAACGTACCTTCATCACACCCGTTGCCCTAAACATCCCGTAAGGCATTTTGTGCAATGATATAAATACCCTAAAATACCCCATAATGATTTTGTTCTTTCCTGATAAATACGTGATCATCTTTCCCCCTCAACAGTTGGAAAGTTCCAGTTAAATCTCCATGGGCTGGAATGTTTCCTTCAACAGCCTGTCAGAGGTCCTGGTCTTTTGTCACAGTCTCTGTTATTTCCTGGGTTTGTGTATCTGTGTTACCTACTCTGTGTATTGCCCAAGTCCTACATGTTAAACAGCTGTTAATCCTTCCAGTCTGTGCTTCTGAAAAGAAATGAAGGATTTCTTCAAATGCACATTTTCAAGAAATGTACAGTATCATTCTTGTCCGTACCCTGTCTGGCTTGCTGACTATTCTATTATGTAAAAGGAATTGTCACACTGCCAATGGAAATTATAAGCCTTAATGTTGTCTTTTGATAGTCTGATCCCAGTCTGCCACATTCTGGATATATCTGTCTCAAGTAATGGTCTACTGAATAAAGGATGTTATTATTATACTACCTCCATCTTTTGTAATATATAATACTATTTCTGGTATATATTACAGAATTTATTTGCTGTGTACAGTTATGTATGCTGTATGATTCCAAATACAGAATATCTCATTTTAGTTCAGCTGTTAAGTTCTGTTAGAGTTACTAATATTGTAATAATAATTATTATTATTATCATTATTCTCAGTCAGAAAAAAAAATGAACATTTTTTGTTTTCGTTCAGTCTTTATCAGTCATTCAGGTAGTCTTACCCATAAGGGAGAAAGCTCTAAAAGGAAGAATTAATGTTTGAATGTATCTGTGTGTTCTGCTGGGTTTTATGAACTTTTTTTTTTTTTTTTTAATTAATGAGATAGCCTCAAACAGTTTTCTATATTTAGGTAAAACTTTAACAAGCAGTGTATCCTCTAAACATCTGAAGTATGGTAAGCTGTGTAAAACTCCATACCACCTGTGGAGATGCTTAGTATTCATGTCAAAGCTTATAAAGTTTTTCAGGATGTAACCATGATGGGTGCATGATATACTCGACTTATGTGGTTATATAATAAAAAAAATTAACATAATAACTAATAAAGTCCTTATTCTTTAATTGTTTTTAAAAGGTGTCCAGGTTCCTTAAAATTTATGTGGATATATATATATATTTAAATCATAGGCTGGCTTATTCTTTTGTTCTCACATAACCTTTTAAAAAGCACTAGCTTACTATTTACCACAAAACAGAAGTGTTCTGTTTTCCTAGCTCTCCCCTATTATATTTTCTGTTTCTTGTTTGAATGTTTGATCTGTAATCACTTCTGACTGTTCTTGATGTCTTTTAAACTGACACATAGAAGCTCTTGGCAGCAGGAATTTCCTCACAAAACAGCAGTTTCAGGCCTCCTGGTCCCGGGTTGCTCTGACAGCAGGCAGGTGTGTGAACAGCAGTGGCTGGGGTGATATTTCTCCTGCTGTGAGACAGTGGGGCTTCACTCCACAGGGATCATCTGCTGCCTGCACTGCAGCGTTCACGCCGGGTCAGGAGCTCGATGGGCCTGGGTAAATGCAACAGAATTGTTCCACTCCGTGACTTTTCAGATGGGACATAGGCAAAATTGCTTACAGATTTTCCTCCCCAAGCTAAAGGTATAAATAGGTCTCTTCTGTGTATCTGGACACTTGTGAGAACCAGGGTGGGGGAAACAATTCCATTTATTGACTGAAAGTTATTGCACACACCATATCAGTTATCCTTCCTGAAGCTGATAAAGCACTTTAAAATTATCTTTCTACATGTGATGAGCAGCTGTAGTTTACATTTCTCTGATTTTTAATTGATAGTTTGTTGAGATTTTTAGGTTCAGTAAAAAAAAATTAGAAGTTTTTCCTTTTTCATCCTGTGTCAGAA